CAGGTAGGGTGTGAGGACAAATACTCGCCACCGAAGATATTGGCTATATCGGTTGCGCTATGTCGTGAATTAGCAGAAGTTAGAATTCATGCACTACATGGTCACTGGATTGGGTTCCAGTGCCTCTAGCCAAAGATCATCACGCCTACCCCACCCCAACACACACACACGTTTCCCCTTTCCTATTATATTTTATTATTATGTTACATATTACTATTAGTACCACTACGTACCCGAAATTTTGATCTAATATCCTTTTAATTTTGTTTTTGTTTTCAGTAATCGGCTTGTCATCATCATCATTATGATCAGGATCAGGCTAAGTGAAACGTTATCATCATCATCATCATAACCATTAAATATTGCAACACATAACTTATGACAAGCATAATCTAATCTACCGATAGTAGTGGCGCATATATTCATAATGGTGAGTGAGTGAGTGCCTTGAACCGACGACATGTCTGTCTGGTATGTCCTATTTGTCATAAATTAATTGTTTTTACATTGGTGGATTTACATTTTTGACCTCATCTTATCTTAACTGAATTGTTGTCACCAAATTTCTTAACAGCATTTCACTCACTGACAAGATATACAGGTTGATTCCTCAATCACTAGTAGAATGCATCACACTACACTACACTAGACTACCATACACTACATTAACCCCATTACCCCTCCTCACCACTCTACCCTCTCTCTCTCTCTATATATATATATATATATATATGGTTTGTAAATTTATTTTTAGCTTTGTAGCTGTATTTCATATATGAGATAATCACCCACCACCCTCCCTTTTTGACTGTGACAGTTATTTGTCATCCTTCCCTCCCTCCCTCCCTCTCTCCCTCCATGTCTACCTAGTACTGACTGCTATTACTAGTTGTAGTAGTAGTAGTAGTCCAATTGACCACCACTTACTGTGATCACATCACATCACACCTGTGATAAAATAAAGATAATAATAATAATAATCTCATTCGGTCAAACTGCCATAGCGTTCGTTATGCACTAGACCACAAGTCCCAAATAGGACGGACGAAATGCGCGTTATCCTGGACTGCATTCCTCTGCTAGTCACCATACACAAATTAATTAGCTTCTAATTAAATGCTCAGACATTGTCTTCGAAGCATCCGCGCACAAGAAGCCAACAGACTACTTGAGGCCAAGCACTTCGGTCCAATCAATCAGTCAATGGAAGAGCAAATCTAAAATTCAATTAACAGCTTGACTGTGTGTGTGTGTGTCTGAAAAAGTTTCCTACTCTGTTATAAAATGGAATCAAAGTTTTCTCATTCCTTGTCCAGGTTTCACTTGCATCGGGTTAGCCTAAGACTTCATTCGGTTGACAAATTTAACTCTACTTCTTAGGATAACAGTTTTGATATAAAGATTTACTTTAGAAAGTCATCATTTGCTACCCACTACTACTGAACTTCAAATGGAGTGGATTCACTTCACCGAAAAGAAGAAAAAAATACAAACCCTCAAAACATCACGTCAACAAATGTGAAAGATCCGAAGTCTCAAATGTGTGAAAAACAAATCACAGTGGATAAAAAGCCAATATACATTCAGCTTGATTATACGGGTGAAAACGTTACAGCGATGATCAACAGAAGGCTGCACATGTCACTAGCCGGAGCCTATCCTGCAGCTAAGCACGTCTCCATCTATAGAACAACTTGCTCTTCTCTGGTGAAATCAAAAATCGATAGATATCCTTCTCATGTTAACCACTCCAACTGTATATACAAATTTATATATATATATATATATATATATATATATATATATATATATATATGTGGGAGCAGTTACATCGGAAGGACAGAAAGAAGAGCATATCTACGATTTTTTGAACATGTACCAACACGCTTATTTCTAAAGTGAACAAATGCATTAAAACAGTGCCTTCCATCGCCAGTCATCTGCTTCACACGGATCGGTCATCATGTGGACGTCGAAAAGTCGCTCAAAATTATCAATAGACAGAAGAGCTTAATTCTCCGCAAGTTTGCTACAGCCATTTCCATCAAGAGCCTAAAACCTGATTTGCGCGTCCAGAAAGAGGCGGTTACCAGTCTTTCTTTGACCATCGTTATAACTGGATATTTTCATCTCTCTCTTTCATCTAAATGCGTAATGCTGAAAAGTTTCCATTGTGTATGATTATTATTGTTCGAAATACATATAAGAAGTTATATTAAGAAGTTATATCCGGTGAGGGAATCACATCAAAGGTGTGAATACATGAAATAATAACAATAATAGTAGTAGTATGAAATGCAGTTAAAAACTAAAATGTTTGTGATTATAACCATACTTGAATGTCACTGAGGGGCAAAACAATTAATTTCATACAAAGAATAATTCATAGGATGGATAGTACTTGAATAAAGGGTGTGCACTTATAGGATTAGTAGACAAATCGAATAAAATAAAATAAAAACGTTGCATAACATTGTGTGATAGGCCATTGTGTGATGCAAAGACTCGAAAACATAATTCTACCAAAGATCAAACCCAAGATTTGGATACGCTACGTTGACGACACATTTGTAATAATCAAAAGAAACGAGTTAGATAAAACTCACAACTTAATAAACAACGTCTTCAACGACATAAAATTCACAAGAGAAGAGGAATCCGAGAACAAAATACCATTTTTGGACGTCTTAGTCAAGCGAACAACCACAGGGGAGAATTAGAAACTCAAGTTTATAGGAAATCAACTCACACAGACCAAATACTGAATTACAACAGCAACAACCCAATAACACACAAAAAGAATTTCATACAAACGCTATTCAAGAGAGCAAGGACTCATTGCAGCACTCCTACCTTAAGGAAAATTGAAGAAAATTATCTCATGGACGTCTTCCAAAAGAATGGATATCCACGGAATTTCATCAAGAGACATATACGTCCAAGCCAACCTACCAAAGCAAAAGCCACCAAGGAGAACACAAAGAAAATCGCCTTACCATACATAAAGGATATCTCAGAAATCACTACAAGACTCTTCAAACCTTTAGGAATTGACGTCGCACACAAACCAACAAAGTTGCTTCACTCAACTCTATGTCAACCAAAAGACTGAACAGCGAAAGAAGATAAAACCAGCATCATCTACAAAATAAATTGTAACAACTGCGAAAAACACTACATCGGCCAAAGTGGACGTCCCCTTCGTCTTCGTATCCACGAACATAAGCTAGCCGTCAAAAGACATGATATCCACTCCCTCATTTCACTACACACAGACAACTACGGACATCAATTCGACTGGGACAACCAACTTTCAAATATTAGACAGAGGAAACAACAAGAATGCTGGAGAATTTTTAGAAGCTTGGCTGACATTCCAGTGAATCATCAATCAATAGACGCATAGAGATAGAAAAAATTTACTAACCGATAAGAAGGAAACCTCACACACAAAGGGTCAAAGTTCAAGTCAAAGAAACGATCAGTTCCAATACAAGTAACCTAGAAGATGTGAAAACACACAAAAACAACCAATCACGTCCAAGGTCACCAGGAGAGATGATTAGTAAACTCGTGGAGAAATCTAAAAGCTCACTTAAAATTGAAGTATGCGCTGAAGATGTCACCCAGTAGGGTGATGAAAGCTTCGCAAATGAACCACCCAGCCAGCTCAGAGGACAAAAGCACATCAAAATTGTGTGAAATTTGATAGCATAGAATTTAACGTTGTAAAAAAGAAGAAATGATTTATAATGAAAAGTGGAACAAGCGAAATAATACCGGGGACAGTTCAAAGTGAGAATAGTAATACTAGTGAAAAATTGACACTGTAATAAAGGAAGAGTATACAAACTTAATAGACAAAATGAAAAAACGAAAAATTAGTAGAGCTGAAATATCACTGGGGATTACCATTCTCTAGCACAGAGGGATTAAGATCATAGAAGTTGGACGGCTTGAACGAACTGCTTTTTACACACACAGATCTGGCTTTTCTGTTCCGATAGCCAAAGACGGCTTCAGCAATACAACAGATGAGTCGGGTACATAGTGATTTGGGTAAATTACTCTTTGCCTTGTAGATGACTTTATAGGCAGAGGCTATAGAGATTGTCGGGTGATCGTTATCGCAAGGAGATGTTGAATGATCGCGCTTCTTATTGCTCGCCCCATTTCCGCCTTTTTGTAACCATCAAGCAGGATAATGTTCTTGAACCCTCTTTGACAAAAATTTCAGTTGAACGGCCGATATAAATAGCTCCACACGAGCAGGTGAATTGATAAACACACACCCACAGAGTTGGTTAACAGCGGGATCTTGTCCTTCAGGTTATTGAACAACAGTAATGGTCGACAAGTAAAGGCTATTCTCAGAGATGCAGCAGGGAATGTTCTTTTCAGGGACTGTGTGATATCCTTCGTTTCATGATAAACTAGTTGAGAAAAGAGTCTCTTCGCTGGATCACTTGTTTTGATTTCCAATATGTTACAATGGGGATTTTCCATGAGTTAAAAATACTTAATAATGTCTTTAGTTTGTAAGCAGCTGACGAGTAGGCGACGAAATAAACAAAGGATGGTATCACTCAGTTTATTCTGCACAAAAACCACTGTAGTTCTTGCTTCTTTGTTCAAAGTCTTTTTTTATCCTTCACGCCCCTCCCCTCCCCCCAGTAGAACATAGGTCGCATTGAAGCTAGTGGCTTGAAGTTTCTGTAGCAGTGTTTACTTTACAGGAAGAGGTCGCTAGCTAGCCTCATGCCCAACTTTTTTTCCTCTTTACCAGCATTATTTCTGGGTCATCGAGGTAAAGAAGTGCGACGTCGGCGGGGCGGGGATCGAACCCCGGACCATGTGAGGCATGGTTGGCGAGCGTCCTAACCGCTGCGTCACCGACGCATTAAGGCGAATAAATCTATAAAAAAAATACAAGCACGCTTATAAATAAAAAAAAGAAAAAAGTAAAAAATAAGCGTGAAACACTAACACTTTATTATAACTCACATATTTGCATTGTGATCCAAATAGTATTTACAAAATATGATTGTCACTGGAATATACACTGTGCATAATGACCACCAAACTCCACTGATTTGATTTGCCAGTTTATATTGACCAGGTATCCATGGAATACGTGTGGCTGCATAACGTGGCAAGTCAGCTAGTGGTGATCTTAGTCTTAAGTTGATATCGTATTGATTGGCTAAATAAACTACAACACACAACTGGATGAATGTGAATATTAGAATCAGGTCGTAGAATATCGTGAGTGTTAATGTGCACTGGAATATTCGTATCGATTGCTTTGCATCATCATCGCCATCAGAAGTAGCAGCAGCAGCAGTCGACCACTGTGACATTATTTTGTGCAATGGGATAAAATGTTTATGTTTTGAAGGTGTATCCAACTCGGAAGACTTTTTACTCATGTCTGGAGTACGTTTCTTATCTGCGATGACATGATGAATTGGTTTTTGTTCGCTTGACGTGACTTTACTCTCAGATTTAGTCGACGGTATTTGTTGTAAAGTAGGGACTTTTGGTGACTCTTTAGGGAGTATCTCTTTCTCTTTGATTTTCTTCTCCTCTAAAGGTGATTTTGGCTCTAATTTAGCCAACATTTTGTCTTCCTTAGACGCCTCAGTTGGGAAAATTTTGTCTTCCCTAGTTGTCTGTTTAGATTTTCTTGGTTTCACCACCATATCTGTATCGATTGGCGGGGGTTCACCAACTTTTGGTGGTCCTAGTGATGTCTTCGGTCTTGGTTGGCTAGATTTTCTGTGTGTCTGAGAGGTTTCCCTCTGCGGAGTTTCTCCGACTTTAGATATTATATCCGTGAATGTTTGTGCTTTGAATTCGCTCGACTTTCTGAGCTTATTCTCACCTTCAGAAGGTCTTGGTTTTGTTGAAGAGTGTCGTGGTCTTTTCTCATCATCTTTCTCTTTCACGATGCCTTCTTTATGGGATGGAATTCCCTCTGAAGGTCTTTTGCCTTTGCAAACATCAGGCGTTTGGATAGGCTCTTGATCGTCTGTCGGTTTGTCTAATGTCTTCACATACTGTAGTTGTTGTTCAACAGAATTCAGGTGAACAACAGAATCTTCAGAGTTTGTCCGACTAACATCGATACCCAGTCTAGATTTTTGACTCTTAGAATCTGTAGATGGACTACGAAGTTCCGGTTTCACATAACACAAGCCTAGTTTCCTCACTTCGGTCAAATAATCTTCATTTTCGTAGCTTGTACGTCGACTACTTCGATGACTATGACTGGCATTTTTTCGTCTGTCTAAGCTAGACTGAGAACTTCTACGTCTTACAGACATCACAAATTAAAAAAACATCCTGTTGTCACATAGGAGGAAATTCTCCGTTAATACTAACTAAACTAACATAATTTAAATAAAACTCACATCAATCAACCAATCAATACTTACTTGTATTATATATATATTTTGTTGCAAGAGCCACGTGACCTATATCAGTAGTATGTAAATATAAGCGTAATTCATTGAAATTTGCAGATGAGGAGCAAATACAATTTTTTAATCGCTGCCTAACTAATATGCTACAGAGTGATTATTTTTGCTTGATATCACTTGGTCGCCAGTTTGTCTGCGTATAATCAAATTTAGTTTACCAAGCAACAACCGTGCAACTGTTTAGCTGAATAACTGAATAGGAGGAAGGCATGAAGACGTAATGTTTCGGTGTGTGTGTGTTTGACGGGAACACCCCTTTTGCAATTATTCAAATAAACTGTAGTGAATGAAGGAATTATTCATATGACGAAGAGTTCTGCAAACCATTTACAGAGATTTGTGTCGTAAATTCCCAGCGTCCAAACATGATTTACTCTACTCCTACGTCGATTCCTTTTGTCGCTTGATAAGTACAGTTTCGTCAATATGTGTACGACGACGCCAACTCCCTCAACTACAGAGGGGATACCATTTTACTTTTGTGATGCAATATCAAGGCAGTAGTGATACCACTGCAATGCAGTTGAAACCTATGTATTCTCCTTTTCTGCAGCTGTAGCACATACTGATCGCTTTAGTAGCCAGTTGTGGCGTTATACGCAATATTTTACTTGGGGGTGGGGGCAATTTCGATCTGGAGAAGAAAGTACCTAAAAAGTCACCATCATGTACGACTTACTAATTCATAATTCTATTATCTAGAGAGCATTGTCTCAACTACAGGAAGTCGGAACGGACGAGAATGTCAAATCGAGAATGGAGAATCGTGGGGAAGGCGTGAAACACATTCACTCATCAACCTGAAACATTCAGTCTGGAAATCTTCGTCACTCAGCCACATCAACAACAAAATTCGGTCGGATTTTCAATACAAACAACGTCAAGTCAGTTAGTTTTTCTGTACGGATTAGAAACTTGGCGGGTGGGTCACAAAGAATATTTCCACCAATAGCCTGTTGCAGACGTTACCTTTATCAACAACTGTCTTCTGTCTATACTGCAAAATCAGATGGCCGGGCCGGAAAGAGTCATCAACTAGAAAATATTGGAAAAACAAAACAAGAACCAATCACTCGACAACAAAAAATGTGTAGGAGAAAGTGAAGATGGATTGGACACTCACTGAGGAGACCGCCACTGGGTGACATCGCGCGCGCGTCAGGCCATTGCTCGAGTGAAACCAGGCCGAAAGGGAAGCGGCGAGTGGGTCGTCAGTGCAAGGGTGACATGGAGGAGATCGTGTGAGGAGGAGTTGAGACAGTATGGACTAATATGGATGATGCGGGTGAAAAGTAAGTACAGCAGAAGGATGAAAGAAGCAAGTGGAGACGTGCAACTGAAGCCCTATGTTCCACTAGGAACCCAAAGGAACAATAATAATAATAATAATTCTTTTATAACTCAGGATAGATCTTGTTTACTGTGACTGGACACTAGTAACTAGTGTGTTGTGTCTAGTCCCTTCCTTGCTGCAGACTGAATTCGATCAGTCAGATTTGGTTTGCGATGTAGCCACCATGCAACTAGGTAGCCTGCCATCACAGTGCACACATTGATTTGACGACATTAGATAGTTGGAAGCAATCGGCCAGTGGAAGCCTCACCCGGAGCTAGATTTCGTGGGGCTAGTTGGCACTCACCAGTCAGTCAGTCAGCAAGAAAAGCGTATTTGCAACCACATTGAAGGAACAGCTCATTTCCCACCCATCTGAGGAGATTCGAACCTGTATCACTCAGTGGGTACTGCAGTCAGAGACGTTACCACTGAGCTAGCTATTCGAGGCGGCTAACGATTGACCTCCTGTGGCACTGTAGTGGGTATTTTCATTAGGGGAGGTCAGTCGCGAGCCAGCCTGAATAGCTAGCTAAGTGGTAACGTTTCTGACTGCAGTACCCACTGAGTGACACAGGTTCGAATCTCCTCAGATGGGTGGGAAATGAGCTGTTCCTTCAATGTAGTTACAGATACGCCTTGCTTCCAGACTGACTGACTGGCGAGTGCCAACTAGCAGGCGAACCTAGATCCGAGAGAGGCTTCCTTGTGAGAACCATTTCATGATTTGAGCGCAACTGGCACCAACCAATGTCATCGGCGGGAATTCTATCCTCACTACCAACTGGGTCGACATCACTTGTTATGACCTCTCACTGGAACTAACTCCAGACAACTGCGTCCTGTTAACCAGTCACTAGTGTGCATCAGATGAATATTTTCATGAATTCATTTGTTTGTAGGGATTCTGCTTGTTTCTGGTTAGACTGTCATCAACTCCCTGGTCTAATCTGAAACTAATAATCATTGTTATTACTAATATTTCCTTTAATTCCTAGAGGAATATAGGGCTTCTTCAGCCGCCCAAGTCTCCATTGCATTCGGTTCTCTGCTAGAGTTTTCACCTAGCTCCATGGCTGCCCGCATGCTTTCATCATCTCCTCTTCACATGACCTCCTCCAAGTCACCCTCACCCTGGAACTGACGACCAACTCACCGCTTCCTGTTCGGTCAGGTTCCACTCAAACATTGGCTTCTCTAGTGATGTCACTCACTTGGTGGTTTGTTTTCTCTGAGGATGGCCACAATCCAATCCACCTCCATTTCTTCCTGCTTATTTGTTGCACAATCGGTTCCTGCTGTGTTGGTTCGCTCATTGTCAGAAATCCCTCCCTGTTGCTGATCGTTTCTGGCCGATCATCTGATCTTGATTGGTACTGAGCGAAGATTGTTAGCTGTTGATGAAGGTGTGTAGCTCGTTTGAGGCGCTGTTTATGACGCGCTGGCCAAGTCTCTGATCCGTATAATAATAATAATAATAACAGCTTTATTCCAAACAGTATTTATGGTGCAGGTATGGAATTTTAAGCGTGCATTACAATATATTGCATCGAATTACCTCATAAATTTTATAAGATTTTAAAATCAAAAAGCAACACCCCAAAAAGATGAATAAAAAGAACAGTGTTGCGTTTACATTTTAAACAATGCACCACAGGATATGGAATATAAAATTAGTGTGTAATAGAAGATGAGAACAGCAGTGTAATAGTAACGAGGAGAGGAAAACAAAAACTAATGGGAATATTTGTTGGAGTGCCGCAGTACGTTGATCGTGTCATACCCAACGGATTTCTCATCACATAACACAGCTGTTATGTGATGAGAAATAGTGAGTAGCACTGACTGACTTCACATTGGAGTTGAAAATCCGGATCTTATTTTCATTTTCATGCTAATTGCGGTTGATCTGTCTCCACACAGAGTTCAGAGTAATGAATGCTTGTCTTGCTTTCTTGATCCTCGCTTTAATATCCTTGTCAGTTCCGTCGGCCTGTAATTGAAACGATGCTTCTCAGGTAGCTAGGTGGGTAGGTGAAGGAGGCGGTTTCTTTCATGTTCCTCCGATTTATGCTGGCTGACTGTTGTCCGTTATTGTTGTTGCTGTTGATGTTTCCCAGGAAAATTCATCACCTGCCTCTTTTTTCTCTATGTTCACCTGAAGGAAGTCCTATCTTCTTTAGATGCTTCTTCTACCACCGACTTGTTGCTTTTCACTTGTATATCTTCCAGTTTGTGGGAAATCAGATATTTATCATTGGCGAAGTCCAGATCCTCCATGTGAGTCCATTTCATGCCTGTTTCCTCATTGCCTGACCAACTGTCTGTCGCATTATCCAATCTACTGGAATCAGAAAAATCATTGGCGATAGCAGGCAGCCAGCCAGCCTTGTCCTACCCTCGTCTTCACTTCGAAGGCTTCCGTAAGTTTCCCGTTGTGCATTACTTGGCATTCAGCGTTGTCGTACAACTGTTGGATGAGATGTATAAGTGTCGGTGGGACACCTTGGTAGTAGCGAAGTAGTTGCCAAATGACCTCTCGATCGACGCCGTCGAAGGCCTTTCAAAGTCGATGAAGTTGAGATAGACAGGTGACTGCCATTCCAAGCTTTGTTCAATGATGATCCGTAGTGTAGTGATTTGATCAAGACATGACTTGTTTCTCCTGAATTCAGCCTGTTCCGGTCGAAGTTTTCATCCAGGTTGGCTTGTTTGATTCTCTTCAACTAATAATCATGGAATTCGATAATGGCTTTTTAGCTCTAAAGTCTAGTTAGATTGTTCACGTGAAAATCAGATTGTAGCTTGTGACCTTCATGGATTATATTCGTACAGACTGGTTACAATTTTAGAGGGAAACACCAGTGACCAGGGTTCAGAAACTATGGGGGGGAATAGAGACAGGTTTTTAGCATACATATTATCATTGTTATTATTCTCAGCTACACAATTAATTGCTTGTCAGGCGATGAATAGTTCTCCAGTGTTTGAAACGGTAAGGACTATTAAGTAAGTCATGCATGGAATTAAATAACACATATACTTCAGACATCAAATCGGCACATACACACATATATGTATACAACTGATTTCCCTTGCTCCCTCACACAAACTGGAAAGTATGCAAATGAAAAGCAACAAGTTGGCGATAGACGACGACGACAACGAAGACGAAGAAGAAGCATCAAAGATAGGACAACAAATAGCCGGTGAACATAGAGAAGAAAACACAGGTGATGTAGATTCTTCACCAACAGCAACAGCGACAGCAACAGAAACAGAAGCAACCACAACATCAACCACAACAGACGACTGACAGACAATCAGCATCAATGAAGGGAGATGGAAATGTGAAAGAAGCAGCCTTCTTCAGTACCTACATATCTATCTATCTGTCTATCTATCCATCTATCTAACTACCTACCTAGCTGAGAAGCATCGTTTCAACTTCAGGCGGACGGATGAGACAGGCCGTGAGGATATGAAAGCGCGGATCCGGAAAGCAAGGTAGGCAAGCTTTCATTACT